GCCTTTGGTCTCTGGGATGAAAAGATAGGCAAAGATCAGGATACACGCCATGCAGCCGGCAAATACCAGATAGGTTTTTGGCCCCAGATTTGCTGCATCGGGTGCTGTTAGCTGGGGCACCACCAGAGTCGTGATCACTGCGGTGGTCTGGGCGCAGGCGATTGTATATGCCATGGTATGGTGACGAAGCTTAGGAGTCGCCATCTCCGAAGGCAGCAGCGTCGATATTGGGGAGAAGGAGGAGGCCCAGAAGAAGTTGAATGCAAAGGATAAGGCCGCAATTGCGATGGCTGAATGGCGGTTCCCCTTGTTGAACGCCAGACCACCAGCCGCAAGGTCGATGACGAAGAGGATGCTCATGCCCGCTAATGCGGTAGGGCGGCGGCCAGCCCGGTCCAACATGAACGGCGCAGCGATTGTACCCGCAAGAGTGCAACAAGAAGCTATCACAGTTAATGTGAATGGGTCTCCGATGCCAATCCCGGACAGGAAGACCGTGCTATATGTTGTTGAAAGAATGATGCCTGAAACCTGGTTCAGAGAATAGAAAGAACCGGCAGTCAAAGTGCGCTGAAGGTGCTTTTTCGAGAATATTATCATGAAAGACACGTTCACATCAGAAGCGTGTCCTTCGGAAAGTTCCATATCTCGAAGCTCCTCATCGACCCGTTGTTCACTGCAGCAGCGCAGTCTTCGCAAGTTGCTGCGAGCCGGTTCCAGCCTGCATTTAGAAACAAGCCATTGCGGACTCTCGGGCAGAGGCAAGGTCCAGATGAATAGCAACGCAGGAAGGACACATTGGACTGTTAAAGGAATCCGGTACGAACTCGAGCCCCTCAAGTCGTGAGTGCACAACACCACAATGGTGCCCAGGACACCAGCTACCAGGGTGAGAATATTAATCAGCGATACACTTCTGCCTCTCATAGAGGCAGGAACGACCTGTAATACGGTGAGTGAGACTCCCTGAAAGCCTAGAGCACCGGCATGCACACCTCTGCTAGATACAAGGGAGCCGTGCTATTGGCAATCCCTGTAGCGATCCCGTTGATAAATCGACCAGAAACAAATGCCCCCAGGTTAGGGGCTAGGACCTGGAGCAAGCTGCCGCCGATGGAGATTATGTAGGCAATCAATAAGGGGCACTTCCGGCCCAACCTCGAATTCAGCGGAGAAGCAGCTAAGCCTCCCAGAATGGAACCGATTAGAGGGATGGAGAATAAAATGCTTTGATTACGAGCCGTCAAGACCAGTTTTCCTGTTAGTGGCTCAGGCCCTTGATATTTGTCGACCTAATCATGCTGTTAGCCCAATGGAACCATTCCTGTGACGTTATTTTCACAAAGGGTTCATTGACACTTACGAATGGCGCCAATGCAGCTACAGGTGATATTATCTTGTCATCGAAACCAAAAACCAATGAAGCCGAGCCGAAAGCAGCGCAGGTCAGAAGCAAAAAGAAATTGACTGTACGCTCCTTGGAGGGGGTTCTGCTCTCTGAGGCGAAATCGACATGCTGAACATGACTGACATCTTTTATGATGTCAGGGGCATGGGTTTCCAATTCATTGGCCATTGCGACTGTCCTCATGCATGTGAATGCAAGAAAATGAATGGCATCGCAGACGCCAATCAATCATTATACTTCATTGATCTCCTCAATGTTGAGAAACCCATCAGCCTGGTAAGAGAAATATTCTTGCAAGAAACAAAACCTAGTAGAATGTCAAGGGGGGGAAGACGCGTCACCCAGCCCGTCCCCAGAAAAATTGTTGTCGCAGGCCCATGGGGATTCTATTTATTGCCCTACCAAGCAATCCTCTTAGCAAAGATGGGATGCAGACACTGGCAGGGTTTCTCTCTGGTGGCTCCACTTGCCACGCTAGTGGATCCTATCTCCAGTCATCGTCCCTTGGCTTAAACTCTATCATTGGATCGATCTTTTACGGGGAAGAATGTGTTTGGTATCCGTGATGGAAATTGATGGAATGATTCCTATACGGAGGATACGATAGGCTTGGATTCAATTTTGCCAGTCCTGGGGACAGAGTCTTCCCATTGATTGATGCAACTTGGTGTAGCGATACCTTTTCATTCCCCATAATATGCTGGATATCCATGTTTGAAATAGAGTGGGGAGTCTGACTGAGTGTGCTCAGTCTGGGGTTCATTTCGCCGAAGATCCTCCGGGGACTGATTGATTGATTGAATCATGCCCCACGACGTGACAATTCGAGCGAGAATCATCGTCCACTCACTACAGGCAGACAAGCTCGGCTGGACCGAATTTTTGCTGCTGCTGCTGCTGCTGCCGCCGCCGTTAACTCCCGGACCGTTTGAGCTTTATCGGGAGATATTGATAAGGCGTCACTAAAGCGACGACTGATTGCTGCTTGCCTGATAGGAGAAATTTCCGCTCATTGCTTGCCGATGGAGAGAGTACTACTGAAATTTACAAGCGATTCAACCTCGAGACACTTCCAAGCGTCTCTGCAACCAACCACAACGCTATCGCTTTTCCAGTTTCCACCTCGAGATCAAATCGCATGGAGCGGCAAACTAGCCTCTCAGATGACGCCCAGCGATGGCAGCCATCCTACCATTTCACTGCCCCCCACGGGTGGATGAATGATCCGTGCGGTCTGGGCCATGATCCTGCAACCGGGCTCTATCACCTATCATTCCAGTGGAACCCGAAAGGCAATGACTGGGGAAATATGTCTTGGGGGCACGCGGTTTCTAATGATCTGCTCCATTGGGATGTCTACCCCGAGCCATGTCTGCAGCCCACCACCGAATATGACCAGTGCGGTGTCTTTACAGGCTGTTTCCGACCCAATGCCGTAGATGGGGTCCCGAATGCCCTTACTGTTATATATACATCAGTGAAACGCCTTCCCATTCATTACACGTTGCCGTATGTGCCTGGCGCCGAGTCAGTCAGTTTAGCCACTTCGCGTGACCAGGGTTTGACATGGCAGCGTCTTGACTGCAACCCAGTTATACCACGCTCTCCCCCGAATGTTAAAGTAACAGGCTGGCGGGATCCTTTCGTTGGCGTCTGGCAGTTCATGCAGGAACAGCCGGAGGCATTTCCATCCTCCGACCTCTGCGGTCTTATCTCCGGAGGGATCGCCGGACAGACCCCAACAGCCTTTGTGTATTCCATCCATCCTCACGACTTACGACAGTGGAAGTACATGGGACCGCTAGTTGACGTTGGCCTCAATTTCCAACCTTCCCGTTGGTCCGGCGATCTGGGTGTCAACTGGGAAGTCGTCAACTGGATTCCCATGACGGACGACGAGGATGTTACTCGAGTGTTTATCCTCATGGGGGCTGAGGGAGGTCTTTTACCCGACAAAAGCCGGAAAAAGACACCTCGAGCACAGCTCTGGATGTCCATCAAGCCTTGCTCCAGCACCCAACCGCGTAGCACAACCGACGCTCTCGCTTCCTATGCATTTTCTGGGGTCTTTGATCACGGTTGCGCCTATGCGGCAAATAGCTTCTGGGACCCAGTCACAGGCCAACAGATAGTCTATTGCTGGATTACAGAAGATGACCTGCCAGATGATTTACGGCACCAACAAGGATGGAGCAGCATGTTGTCTATTCCACGGGTAGTGAAACTGATCACCCTGCGCCATGTCAAACAAGCTCGGCGCTCGAAGTTGATCGCTATCACCTCGATCGAAGCACAAGAGGAGAGCCAGGAAACGTTTACTATCCGGACGCTGGGTGTTGTCCCAGACCCACGACTTAAAGCTCTTCGCAGTAAGACGAGCAGCATGCATATTGAGCATCTGCCCCTAAGCACACTCGACAGTTGTATCTCTCCACCAAAAGCCCACTTTTCTCTAACAACATCTAAATGGGAGATCGACACCGAATTCTCTGTCAGCGACCGATGCGGCAGAGTAGGCATAGAAATTCGCCATGGCCTCGGTATGTTTTTTCCTTCCCCTCACACCGGCATACATCATAGGCTTCTCAATTCTTACTCCTACTAACAGTACACCAACACAAACCAGCCGATGCAGAACCCCCATGCCGTACAATTCTATACTGGGAACCAGCCAGCGAAACCTTCTGCATCCAACGACCAATTCCGCATGACTCCCGCATTAACCATGAACCAGAGACCGCTCCCCATACCCTATTCATGCTCGAAACTCCATCCGGCGAACAAAAAGAAGAGATGTTACAAATCCATGCGTTTTGGGACAAGAGCGTGCTCGAAGTGTTTGTGAACGAGCGCACCGTCATCTCTACCCGCATCTATCTGCAACCTGACCAAGCCTCCCAGTGTGAACTGCGTTTCTTCGCTGAGGGAGAGACTAATCATGATGATCCTCCGGCTATACTTCTGCAGGCAGACAGCTGGGATGGGTTGGGCCTCAATAAACCTGATCGTGTCTCGTTGATCGAGCAATTGAGAATGAGGAACAATTCGACGCGCGAGTGAGATACCATGTTGTAATTCATGGTAACTGACACATGGCAGAGTAGTTAGGCTAGATTTTGGAGAATTATAGAATTATAGAACCATCATGACACCGAGCTCTGATATCTGCATTGGTACTAGCCATAGCTATGCAGAAGCCTCGGTTCATTGTTTCGTTTCAATCTTTATTTAATACAATTGTATATATGGCATATGACCCCGCTCCCCAGAAAAAGATCCCCAAAAGAAAAGGAAGATGAGACTCCACCCATCGCCATAACTTCGATGATGATATGCAAAGTTGAAAGCAAATGCCTTGAAGCCTTTCCCACTTAAACCGGCTTTTCCGTCATGCAAAAAATAACCCCGGATAATATGCGAATGGGTATCATAGCAGATGATTATCATGGGAGAACCGTCCATCCAACCAAGCCAAACCGATATATAGCATAGTTTGCTATCAAATGAAAGAAACAAGGGGAAAGGAAAATAGAAAGAAAGAAAAATAGTATAAAAAATAGAATAACATTATAAGAAGAAGACAAACATCCCGAGAAGAAGAGATAAAAGGGAAAGTATTATAAGAAAAACATAAATAGTAGTGGTCATATCATAACTAATTTACCGGCTGTTTCTCGTTGTTGTTGTTGTTGAGGGGTCATGAAGAAATTATAGGATGGATCTCACTGGCGCTGCCAAAATTTCCAGTTCGGAAACGCTTTACGTCCATCGCGTTTGTAGATACGCCAGTAGTAGACGGGAATACCGGCAATGATGAACGCGACGACGATTAATGTCTGGAGCGGTTCTGCAATGACGGCCCTGCTGAGGAGGAAGAGACTAACGCAGCAGAAGATGATGGGAGTGGATATCCAGGTCTTGTAGGGGCGATGCAGGTAGGGTTCCCGCACGCGAAGAATAATCAGGCCTAGCACCGTCACGAAGTAGAAGGTGTATCCGGCTACACCGTAGAAGGTGACAAGGGTCTTGAACTCGCCGACGATGACGTAAATGAGGGTGAGTGTACTGTTCAGCGCCATGGCGTAAATGGGGGTGAAACCAATTCGCGTGCCGTCTCCACAGAGACGCGAAAAGACCTTGGTGGCCCAGGAGCGGCGCTGGAGTCGGTTGGTCGAGGTATCTCGAGTCCATAGTTTACCGAATATAGAGGGGATATAGCCCTCTTTTCCGGCTGCATAAACCAAACGGCCGCTGGTGAAAGCCGTGGCATTCAAGGCGCCAATGCAACTCGCGGATACAACAAGCGCGAATATAAGGGCACCCACGTGACCAAATACCTTGTCGCCGAACTGAATGGCGATGGTATTAGTCGCCTCAATAGTGGAATGAGGGAGAACGAGAATGTAGGAGATATTAGCAAGGAGATAGGAGAGGATGACTAGTGGCATGGCCGTGTGAATTACACGTGGAAGATCCTTGTTGGGATTCTTGAATTCACCAGTCACGTAATTCGTCTGAGTGGAGTCAGTAAAAGGTAATTGTGGGATATTGGGGATGTAAAAGACGTACGTTGTCCCAACCGTCAAAGGCCCAAAGACCTGCGTACAGAGCTACAGCCCAAGCGGATATGTCGAGGTTCGTGCCCTCGAACCAGCCCGTCTTCCACTCCTTGTTGGCACTGCCAGTCGATGAGTGACCTGTTATAGCCACGATGATACCGATTATGGTGACGCCCAGCAATGCGACAAACTTGAAAAACATGAAGAGGTCACCAATGCGCGCAGCCACCCTCGTTGAAATACAGTTCAACAATGTCACCACGAAAATTCCGCCAAACGCAACAGCCTTGTTTATCCAGGGATTAACCGTTTCTACGTCTGCGCCGACAAAGGCTCTTACGACGTATTCTCCGAAGATAATTGCGATGATGGCCGCACTTCCCGGCTTCAAGACCAAGACTGAGCACCACGTGAACAGGAAGCCCGCTAGCTCCCCGAAAATCTTGGAGAGATACACCTGGGAGCCTCCATTCAAGGGAATAGCTCCACCGAGCTCTGCATAGCTGGCTGCCCCCGTCCAAGCGAGTAAGCCAGCAACAACCCATGCAATCAGCGATGCACCAGGCGACCCAGCATTGACATTGACCTGGCTGGGAGATGAGAAAATACCCGAGCCGATCACCAGCCCAATCACGAGAGATAGACCGTTCATGTAAGTCAATGTCTTGTTCCTCTCTAAGGACCCATCAGCAATTCCAGCCTCTCGGTCTGCGGACGAGACCCCCAACGGAGCATAACCACCGGTCGTCTGCGACAAGGGAAATAAGGTCGCCCCGAAGTCAAAGGCTGAAGATATCGAGTATGAGCGAGCCGAGCGGGGACGCCCTGACGGGCCCTGCGACTGTGGATGGGAGCTGGAAAGAGGGTCTTCATCTTCGAGGGAGAGCTTGCGCGACGACGAAATGCCGGAGGGAGACGAGGAGCGGGAGGATCTGGGGGCGGAGTCGGGCGAAGAGGCTAAGGACGCCAGTTCGAGGGAATCCCTGGGAGCATGGTAATTGCCCGACCTGGACTCGGAATTCGAAAAGGTTATATGGGACATGCCGCTCAAAGAAGATCGAAACAAATGCTGGTTGGGAGGTGGAAGAACAAGAGCGGGCAGTTAAGGATGGGGCACGGGGCGGTGTTCCATGCCACCGGGGGGGGAGACTTTCCGGGAGCAACGAGTGGACGGGCAATTCCTCCTCCCCTATAAAAACAATGGGGATTAGCAGTTAATAAAGAGACAAGACAAGAATTAGCGGCTTGGGGAGGAAGAAGTATGAAGTATTGAAGAAGATCTATTGAGGGACAAAGAAGGAAAGATGAAGGGAAATGCGACTCCCTGCGTCCGCGGCCCAATGAGGCTTAGCGCCATGAGATCTCCGGTCTGCTTTTTATAGCGTCATGTTCCACTTCCCCATCCATTGCCCCAATTTTTCCCCTACACCCATGAAGCCCCGCGCTTTCTCTCAGGGCTTGTTGCGCCGGTTTAATGAGTCGCCCACTGTTGGGAGGCTCGTGATCCGACCCTCCAGACGCCATGCGTCTACCTCGCCGTCGTCTACTCCGCCGCCGAAGCAGCAACGATGGCTGCGGTTCGCCTTCATAACTGCCGCTGCGGCGGGTATTGGTGCCCTGGTCCGGTCGCAACAGGGTCCAGATTCTACAACCCTAAATCAGATGAAGTTCACACCATACTATTTAGTATCCCGCGAACCGGTCTCGTCGACCGGGAGCTACTTCGTTCTTCAACCGCCCGCAGCCGATGGTAGCAATCATGCCGTCTACGAGGAAGCATGGAAGACTGGTGTCTGGAGTGTGATGTTCAAACAGCCACAATTGCAGATTGGGAGAGACTACACACCACTGCCAGCCACTTGCTCGGAAGATGAAGAAGACGAGTGTCTGCGCTTCTTCATTCGGAAGGACCCGTTCGGCGAGGTCTCCCGCTATCTGCACAGTCTAGAGATCGGAGCACCCATTGAAGTACGTGGCCCGCGAATCGAATGTGAAATCCCTCCGGATACGCAGCAGATCTTGTTCATCGCCGGAGGCACGGGAATTGCCCCTGCCCTGCAAGCTGGACACACGCTTCTTCGTCGCACCAACGAAACACATAAGCCTAGAATACATATCCTCTGGGCCAACAGAAGACGGGAGGACTGCGTTGGTGGCGTGAGTGACACAAATACAACTACAACAGCACCCTCGAGGTCGTGGTTCTCTGGACTCTTCACGTCTTTGAAGGACAACCAAGGCGGCCCTGATGAAGCACCCCGCAGTACGGGCACTTCGCTGATAGTCCGTGAGTTGGAGGCTCTTCGGTCACAATACCCTGGACAGGTGACCGTGGATTACTTCGTCGATGAGGAAGGCACCAGCATCGGGAAGCAGCTTATCCTGGACTCCACCCGCAGTGGCCCGTCTTCCCAGGAATCCGAAGAAACCAAGAACACAAACAACCTAATTCTGGTCTCCGGACCGGAGGGCTTCATTAGCTATATGGCAGGACCAAAGCTCTGGGCTCAAGGAATGGAATTGCAAGGGCCACTCCGGGGAATTCTCAAAGAATTGGACCTAAAGGATTGGGCCGTGTGGAAATTGTAAATATAAATATTAAAATTTCTTGTACGATAGAAAAGAATATATAGACAAGACACAATAGACCTTCCGTCTTTTACCCCAGAATCCTCCGATCGCGGAGCAAGAAATAATGCGTGCCGTGTGATTGGTCGATCATCGGGTCTGGGTCCGCGTCGGGGCTTCCCTTTAGTTTGCCTTCAAGTGTGAACTTTTGAGTCACTCAACTTTCTTCCTTTTCTTTCTTCTGTTATCTCCCCATCCTTGACGCCTCTGTCTTTAAGATGCAGTCGCGTTTGTTGCCCTCCGGCCCTGGCAGGCGTTGGATCTCCCTCCGCGTGCCGAGCACGCCTCAACGACGAGCATTCGCCTCCACCCGCTTCCTTTTCCAGGATGTCTTTCAGTCCCAGCTGGATGACCCTTCCTCCGCCGCCCTCTTCTCCTCCCTGCAGACCTCCCGGGCCGTGCCCCAGACCTTGACGGAAAAGATCGTTCAGAAATATGCCGTAGGACTGCCCGAAGGCAAGTTCGTCAAGTCCGGCGACTATGTGACCATCGCTCCCCACCGGATCATGACCCATGATAACTCTTGGCCCGTCGCATTGAAGTTCATGTCGATCGGTGCCTCCAAGATGCACGATCCCGATCAGGTCGTGATGACACTCGACCACGATGTCCAGAACAAAACGGATAAGAACCTGCAAAAGTACCGCCAAATCGAGGAGTTTGCTAAGCAACACGGTGTCGAGTTCTATCCCGCCGGTCGAGGAATTGGTCACCAAATTATGGTTGAAGAAGGCTTTGCCTGGCCCGGCACACTGGTGGTCGCTTCGGACAGTCACAGCAACACCTACGGTGCGGTGGCCTCCGTCGGAACGCCCATCGTGAGAACCGATGCGGCCAGTATCTGGGCTACCGGTAAGACGTGGTGGCAGATCCCTCCCGTGGCCAAGGTTACTTTTACCGGTATCCTGCCTCCCGGCGTGACTGGCAAGGACGTCATCGTTGCTCTGTGCGGTCTGTTCGACAAGGATGATGTTCTGAACCATGCAATTGAGTTCACCGGCTCTGAGGAAACCATGAGAAGCTTGCCCATGGATAGCCGGTTGACAATTGCCAACATGACAACTGAGTGGGGTGCCCTGTCCGGAATTTTTCCCATGGACAGTGTTCTGAAAGGCTGGATGAAGGGCAAGGCTACCACTGCGGCCATGGGATTGGCTGATGGGCCGTTCAAGACCCTGGCTGCTCGCAACTTCACCCACCCTGCCATCGAGCAGCTGTTTGTGAACCCTCTCACTGCCGATAAGGGTGCCAAGTATGCGAAGGAGCTCTTCCTAGACCTCTCGACTCTTTCTCCCTACGTTTCCGGCCCCAATTCAGTCAAGATCGCCACACCCCTGAAGGAGCTGGAAGCCCAGGATATCAAGGTCAACAAAGCCTATCTGGTTTCCTGCACCAACTCTCGGGCTTCGGACATTGCCGCTGCTGCCAAGGTGTTCAAGGATGCCGCAGAGAAGAATGGTGGGAAGGTCCCGAAGATCGCTGATGGCGTCAAGTTTTACATTGCTGCCGCGTCTATTCCCGAACAGCTCGCTGCGGAAGGAGCCGGTGACTGGCAGACTCTCCTGGATGCTGGAGCAACAGCCCTCCCCGCTGGATGCGGACCTTGCATCGGTCTGGGAACGGGATTGCTGGAGCCCGGTGAGGTCGGTATCAGTGCGTCGAACCGTAACTTCAAGGGTCGTATGGGTAGCACTGAAGCTAAGGCCTACTTGGGTAGCCCCGAAGTTGTGGCCGCCAGTGCTCTCAGCGGCAAGCTGAGCGGTCCTGGCTGGTACCAGCCCCCTGAAGGGTGGACTGAAGTTGTCCGCGGTGAGGGCGATGGTATCCGCGAGGAGGACCGCATGCTCAATACCGAGCAAGCTCTTGAGAAGCTCCTTGGCCAGTTGGATGACCTTGTCGCCGACGGGGAGAAGCGCTTCGCTCCCGAGGAGAAGGTTGAGGAAGAGGGTGGCCTGACTGAGGTGTATCCTGGATTCCCTGAACGTGTCTCTGGCGAGATTGTGTTCTGTGACGCTGACAACTTGAACACGGACGCCATCTATCCCGGTTACTGGACCTACCAGGACAATGTTCCCGTGGAGAAAATGGCGGAAGTATGCATGTCCAACTATGATAAGGAGTTCCACTCCATTGCCAAGGAGGGTGACATCCTGGTTGTCGGATACAACTTCGGTTGTGGTAGCTCTCGTGAACAGGCGGCCACTGCTCTCCTGGCGAAGCAGATTCCCCTGGTTGTGTCGGGTAGCTTTGGCAACATCTTCTCCCGTAACAGCATCAACAATGCTCTCATGGGTCTGGAGGTTCCTCGCTTGGTTAGCCGTCTGCGCGAGGAGTTCGGCGACAAGCAGCTTACCCGCCGGACCGGTTGGACTCTGACCTGGGATGTCCGGCGCAGTCAGATTGAGATCCAGGAAGGCCAAAATGGACCTAAGTGGACTCACAAGGTGGGCGAGCTGCCGCCGAACGTGCAGGAGATCATTGCGAAGGGTGGTCTGGAGAAATGGGTCAAGAACGCCATTGAGGCGTAGAGCAAGTGGTTCAGCAGAAATGAAACTCGCATGACTGTCGACAAAGTGATTCTTATGATACCCAAGCCTTCCAGTCTTCGTTATGGGGTTGCGGCGTGGATGTTTCTTGGACAGAGACGATACGCATGGAGAAAAACAGACAAAAGATGACTCTGCATGTATAGAAAAAAGAGATTTTCTTTATTAGATGTACTCCAATTCATGACAATGTATTTCTATTTCTAATTTTTGTTTCTTCCTTCCAGTTCTTGCAAGGTGCCTAGGCAGAACGTGATGTTGTGCACCAGGATGGGTGGTCATGTCTGTCCTACTTGGTCACAGCCGCACCCTTGTTTGCATCCATCTTTCATCCATTTCATTCACTTTCTTCCCTATCTCTCTGCATCCGCCATTCCCATCACGGATGTGGCTATGTCAGGTCCAGGGGAACAAGGATTGCCTTGTTTGCTGCGGGGAATCGAACGAGATTTGGGGGCGGTGTTTTTGGACGATCGCCTTAGAAGGTTTAGAACACGGGCACTGGCGTGGTGGCCTGCAGTTGCACGGCTCACTGAGCCTGCCATGATTCGCTCCAGCTCAGATGCCTTCAGCTGTCAATCCTCTGCTGGCTTCCTTCCTTCAGCTGACTTCGTTTTCTTCTTTTCATTCTGCTCTCTTCCTTCACTATCGATGGACTCTTCACGGTCCTTCCTCTTCCTCCTATCTCACGTATGATCTGAACACCCAAGACTTCTGAGTTGTATATGATCGTATGCTCAGCCCCGCTACGCTGCCGATGCCCTTCCAATGAGCTGTGGCCACTACACTGCCGATGGATCCTGTCACCGCAATCGGTCTGCTTTCCGGTGCGTTTCAGATCGCTCAGTACGTCAAAGACACCGCGGTGGCACTAGCCCATCTACATGGCAAATTCAAGGATGCCGACCTCACCATCCGATCGCTAATCGGCGAGCTGACGACCATCCGATCGGCCATCACGCAGCTACATGAGTGGGCTAGCTATAATGTTCGTGACTCAACCGAACCAGACGAGTATGTCGAGGGACTTGAAGTCGCATTGGACGGCTGTCGCGCTGTCATGGAGGTTCTTTCGGAAGAGGTTTCAGCTCTGACAAGGGGTGCAATGCTAAGTGACACCGGGATCGGATTTCGTACTCGGGTAAAGGTCGTCTGGAGCGAGGACAGTATGAAGGTTCATCAGGAACGACTGCGTGCGCAAGTTCAGGCACTGCAGCTCCTGCTTCAAGCCTGCCAATGGTGAGTCTTGAAAGGTACCGAAGCAGCAATGAATTACTGCATGCTAAACATCGTGCATTAGTCGAACATCAACCAACAAGTCGAACTGTTACGGAGAGCAGAAAATCGCCAGATAATTGCCAAAGTCGCCAGCGATACAGCAACATTACGGTCCGCTTACAGCTACGTACCCTCACGGGCGGAGAGTCCGAGCCTGACTCGTCGCTCATCCTCCGTGGGGGACACGGTTTTTGACTTCGATAGGGCAGTGGTGACTTCCCTTCCCTATAGACGCGCAATCGGTCAACCACGGACCCATCCTCCGACGCCAACTGCGGTCAACCGCAGCAATTACAGCCCACCTATAGATGAAGGGTATGGCAGTGGTACTGTGAGCAGTGCAAGCCCACCCGGCACAAATGGAGTTCTTCCAATACATCCATCTGCGTCGTTTGACTCTAGCCATGGCCACAGTAAGAGCGTGTCGTTCGCACCGACTCCTTTACCGCAGAGTCCGACTCAAGTCCGCAGGTGGCAGTCGGATGCGAGTGGCGCTTCCTCGGGTAGTCGCTCCTCAGGGTCACGGCGTGAAAAAATTCGGACCATCATTCGGCAACTCAGGCGTCCAAGCTGGTCAGCAACGCAAGCTTCCGTACGAGTTCCTGGGCGAAGTCCGTCGGAGCGTCGGCTGTACGAAAGAGATTTGAATACTAGCATCAATTTGGCATCGTCGGATGGCGCGTCTGCGCCGCCAATTATCAAGTCAGCCCAGTCGGGCAGTCGATCCGATGTCGAAAGGCTCCTGGAAAGTGGCCATGACATTGAAGCCCGTCATATCTCAACCCGCAGGACCGCCCTCTTAGTAGCTTCCCATTGCGGGAAAGAAGACGTGCTGGATCTACTGCTGCAAAGAAACGCTAGAGTGGATGCTACCGACAAGTCGGGTTCCACCGCGTTGCACTTGGCGGCGTCGCGCGGTCATTGCAGGGTGCTAGAACTGCTTCTTCCTGAGTCCTTGGATATCGAAGCACGGAATGCCAACGGCCAGACTGCTCTCTGGGTAGCAGCATATCATGGCCAAGCTGAAGCTACAAACCTCTTGCTTGCTTGCCACGCCAAAGTCAATGCGCGAGCTAATGATCAAGCGACCCCGCTACATCTAGCCGCCAAACTGGGCGATATAGTAATAGCCAGGATTCTGATACAAAACGGCGCCGATTTGGAAGCCAAGGACGGAACTATGATGGCGCCGCTACACTACGCCTGTGAAGGGGGACATCTTGACGTTATTGAGCTGCTGCTCAATGAGAAGGCGAACGTTAACGCAGCTGGGAGCGACCGCAGGACGCCGCTCATATGTGCAGCTGCCCTGGGCCAGCTGCTGGCGACGCAGCTCCTGCTCAAAAAGAAGGCGTCCACTAGATCGGTCGACGATGCCGCTATGACGGCATTGCACTGGGCTGCCTATAATGGACACAGCGAGATCGTTGATCTTCTTAGCCAGAAGAAAGGGTTGCTGGCCAAATCTAACATTGCAGGACGAACGGCCCTACATCTAGCTGCAATGAAGTCACAGTTCGCGGTGGTGGAGTTGCTCCTTCGAAAGAGTATGCCACTAGAAAATCGCTGCCTTTCAGGTCTCACGTCGCTTCATTACGCGTGCATGGCTGATAATTGTGAGGTTACGAAACTCTTGCTTATCTCAGGCGCCAACATCGAGGCCCAGGCTGACTCGGATCAACGTCGACCGATCCACCTCGCAGCTGTTCGTGGGTCGATGGCACTTCTTAATCTACTATGTGACAAAGGAGCTTCTCTGGACGCCCGCGACGCCGCGGGAGATCGAGCGCTCTGTGTGGCATCCCGGTACGGACATGCAGCTGCCGTTCAGAACCTGCTCGATCGTGGGTCCCCTGTGTGCCTGTCTTATGGCGTCCGATCGGAAGAGGATTCGCCCTTGTGTCTGGCCGCCATGGGAGGGCATGTGCCCGTAGTCACGCTTCTTCTCCAGCGAGGGGCGTCAGCCATCAAGCGGGACGAACGAGGGTGGCAGCCCTACCGCTATGCCGCTTACTATGGCCATCCAAATGCGCTCCGCCTGCTCATGTCCTGTAGTCTCATGGTTGCCAAAGACGACGCGGATCTGGGCCTCACGGCAGAGCGAATCGGATTTGCGCCGTCTGCGGATATTTCGATTGAAAGGAAGCGGGAAGTACAAAGGTTATTATATCAGATGCAGCACCCGTCACAACCAGGAGCCGAAGGCTCCCCGGTCTGGTCCTCTCCGCTAAAGCCCAACCAGCAGCACCCGGTACCTTCTGGATTCATGTCTGATGCCGCCGTATACCATATCCAGCCGTCTCCTACAGCAGAAACGAATCCTCAGGAGCTGCCTGGAACCTTAGAACAGGGGCTCCCGGCAAGCCGGTCTCAAACGCCAGAACATATGCGGCGAGGAAGTAGCGTTTATCAACGCATAGACTCTGAATTTCGCGACGTCCCGCAAATTTTAGAGGCCAATGAGCGGGCCTTTGCCCCAACCAATGAACAGATTGCGATGCCTCAGGCGCGACATTACTTTGAAGTGCCCAGAGGAAATCCTAGTCCAAGCAACCCGTGCCTGGAAAGCGTGTTTTCGCATGCAGGCGAGAGGGCTGGCGTCCGCACCACAGACTCTCCTGTCTCTTTGACAGATGTGTATGGGCTGAACCCTGCGCGCGCATCTTGGACAGTACCTCTGAGTCATGCAGACGGGGAGGCTCAGAACAAAGAAAGAGAATGGGACACGGAGTCTTCTATATCATCAGTATATACTGCACCGGAGGAAGATGTGGCGGAGCTTGCCGCCTAGATTCACATCGTATAATCTCATAATGTAGCTAGATCATATATCGGAGGGAGAGGAGGGGCGGGGGGAGAGATTCGCCTTACGGCTACCTCTATACGAGAGCTTTCTTTCTATGGATCAGATTGAGTCACTCCCGCACTTGACCCAAAAATAGCAGCAATATAAGCATATGGCATCGCATGGCATCTCATCGCCATGTGGTCGGGAGCAAGCCTTGACCCATCAAAGTCAAAAAGAAAGACATGTCTCAGACTCGTCTATTATCTTCCGCAAGCCCCAGGCTGATTGCTCTAATCAACCGCCAGGATGAAACGTGGCTGAGGATGACGATGGTTCATGCCTTTCAGCATCCAATCAGCCACTGCGAGAGCACCAACACCTATGTACTGTGTAGAAAGTCTCTCAGGGACGCAACAGCCTCATTGGCGCAACGGATATGCTGACGTGAATCCCTCCCTCTCTTAACTGCCACCTTAAAAATCTCAGGCCGTGCGTATGCTGCCGTGACGAAGTATAATCAGCTGACCTGACCTTACTGACAAACCATCCCGACAAGATAGATATCCATACCAGATGACAGGATGAAACCCAACAACTAAACCAGGCAAGACAAAAAAAATAACCAACCCAACGCTAGTAGTAAATAAGCCAAAAGGTCATATAACTTGAGTCATGCATTCAAGCATGAAAAAGAGAGAGAGAGAGAGAGAGAGAAAAGCAAAGAGAAACAATACCAAGCCGAATCCAGGCTCAGATTCCCGTCTTATCAAGCATTTGAGAATCTCTCTCATACGGGAGGGAGGTATTGGTCCTGAGGCTTCGATTATATTTAGCACATTTTGTTAGTAGTTATCTCATTAGTTTGGTTACGACGCTATCATTGGGGATTGGGGACTCAGCTATCATCAATCATTGGGATGATGCGGGCCTGATGGGTTGTATGTAGTATTACTCGAGGGACTTTGGATTCTTCGTTTTGGTTGTGGTGGTAGTATGCTATTCTTGGTGGATGTTGCTGGGGCTTAGATCAAGAGGTAGTACTTGGAGGTGTATATAATAGAGGGTTCTTGTGTCCTGATGGATGGAGCTTAATATTATTAATTACCACTACTTGCTTAATATCTATAATACACTTACTATCACTCGCTACTACTGTTTCTTGATCAGTCAACTGACATACAACAGTCTTTTGGGATTGTGATTGCTTTCTTTCGATCCATCGTGCGAAAAATATACTACTGTATATACATCGCTCTCTGCATCATATATATTATCACCACCATCTATTATACAACTCAGATCAGACAAGATCATCACCATGGGCCGAGGAGGATACAACACCCCCGAGACTACTGCGCCGAAGCCCGCGCAGCCGACTTCATCCTCTCGTTCCCTATCTCTCTCGCTGTCGCTGTCACCTCTTTCTTCTGACCCGCTGCTGCTGCAGGGCCGTGGCGGGTACAACGAGCAGCAACCCGTCGCAGGGGCGTTGTAGCATACGACGCGTTATAGAGGACATCATCCGGATGGGAGAGAATATGCGCTTATGATTTCCGATATCACACATACCTCTCTCACTTGCCCACACAGAACCTATTCCGATGAGTTAGCAACAAGAATGACAACAACACACACACACTACTACTACTACACTATACAGCATAATACTTACTTTTCAAACACAACGCCCAGAACATCTTCCACGTCTCCGCTTTCCCCACGGCCCGTGATCTTCGCCATGGTATCAGCGGCAGAGCGCAGATGTTCAGCGGCGGTGACGATATCAATGTCCATGTCCATGTCTGATTCTGGGTAATCATGAGCGATTTGGCGAGATGATGAAGGTATAGGCGTCTGGAATTGCGGTTGAGTTTGGGTTAGGAAATCATCCAGGTGTTCGAGACAGCGTTGTAAATTAGAACTTTGGCGATGCGTCACGCCCAGTGAATCTTCCCAATATGCATGATCGTATTGTCCGTTCTCATCTCCGTCGATCCCTGTCGGGGAGGCTATTTCCTCGAATGTAGTCATCAGACCTTGTAGGAATTGCTGGATGTAGCCGGGATCGGAGGACTGGTTGGGACTGGGGCTGGTTAGGTTCAGGCCGTTGGTGGCGTCTAGACAGGAGATGCCGAAGATGCGCTGGCGCAAGTCCGGGACCGCTTCAAAAAGCTGGCTGACTGTCTCGATGAGCTGCGGGGGAAGTTTACCCTCCGGTAGTCGGTCACATTTGTTGATGGTTACGACGACGCATTTGCCTGCGCGGGCGCAGTCGTTGGCAGCATCGACGACCTCCTGCTCGACGGCGAGGCGATACGTTGCTGCACCATCGGTGGCTTCTTCCACTGAGACGACCACAATAACCACGTCCGATTCCAAGGCACGAGCCTTGGCCCGTCTGATGCCCTCTTGTTCCACGGCGCCAATCACGACTGTCTTCTTCTGTCCGGTGGGATCGTTAGGCTCCGAGCGAATTCCCGCCATATCGCCGAGCTTGCAGTACCAGCCGCCAATGTCGACACCGACATCCACGATATCCCGCGTGGTGCCTTCCTCGGTACTAACGATGGCGGCCTCTCTGCCCACGATCCGATTCAGAAGCGAGCTCTTCCCCGCATTCGGAGCCCCCAAAAGAGCGACCTTTATACCGTTACGAAGGAGCTCACCCTTGGACGCGTTCTGGATATGAAGGGCGATTTGGGCCCGCAGAGCCCGCACCTGAGCCGCAACCGACGACACCAGGTCCTCGGTGGACTCGTCGAAGTGCTGATCCTCCGAGAAGTCAATCAAGGCCTCCAGTTCGCCGCGCGCATAGAGCAATTGATGCCGCCATTGTTCGTACCGCTTCGATAGAGCATCGCTGGCACCACGGACTGCAAGTCGGCGCTGCTGCTCCGTGTCAGCGGACAAGGTATCACCCAGGGCTTCGATCTGCGGGAGGTCCAGGCGGTTGTTCATGAAGGCTCGACGGGTGAATTCACCTGGTTCGGCGTAGCGGACTGTGTAGTTGGAGTTGTTTGTACGCGAGATGGCTGTCAGAACGGACTTGACAATGGCTGGGCCGCCGTGGAGGTGCAGCTCGAGGACATCTTCGCCAGTTACGGTCTTCGGGCCGGGGAAGTATAGGACTAGGGCGCCGGCGTCGAGGACGGTATTAGGGGAGGGTTTTTGTAAGGGATCGTACAGGGTGCGGACGACTGCGAGGCGGGGTCGGGGGAGTGGCGCTTCTGGACAGAGAGATTTGTAGATCTGTTTGAACGAGTGAGGTTAGCTGTTGCTGCTGATGCTGGGCTGGGTCTCATTTGATGGCGGAAGTTAGCTCTCATACTTGCACACATGCAGGTCCCGATGCCCGCACAACGGCAATGGCAGCCCGTCCAGATGCTGTTGAAAGCGCATAGATAGTGGAATCGGCATCGAAGATAGATTGAGCCGGTGAGGAACCTGAGAAGTATCGTTGTGGAGGTACACGCGGAGATGGGCTCCGGGCATGGAGAGCTGGACCAGCGCCCTGCCGGGCCACGGGGAAGCACCTACTCCATGATGGGCGGAGGGGTGTCGCCCACCGTAGGGTCCGGACGGCCGATGATCGCATACGCGAGATGAACCCGGATAGGCGCAATGAACAAGCGAAGAGCAATCGCTGATTTTCGAGGCATGAGAGAAGGAGAGGCTCATCGAGGAGATTCGCCGCATCGCCGGGGTCACGTGATATCTCCGCGGACGAAGAAGTGGAGTTTAGGTTACGAAAGAATGCTGTAGTGTATGGCAGGTAGGGTTCAAGAACTACAGTAGCAGCCTATGCAAGACAAGGTATTCATGTAGACAGATCCAGGAATCCAGTAGATGTATGAAAGCCAGATCACAAGGGCCCTGCGCCCCTTCGCCACGCCTGCGCGCCGAAAAGACACAAAACCTCGGCCATGCGCCACGGATTCCTTCCCCGTAGCCCAAATGCAACAACGGCTCGAACGACATGCAGATATAAACGGAGAATGAAGAAAAGAGCAGAGCGAAAGGAAGTATGTACACAAAGAAATGACCGAAGCAACAGTGAGAAGCAATGGATAAAGTAGGAGTATGAAGGGTGATTGGGAATCGCTGGAAAAAAAAAGGGGAACAATGTACCTTCGAAGAAAATGCGAAGGGATGCCCGGAGAAAGGAAGAAATTCAGAAAGCCAGGCAAGCCAAAGGAAAAGGGGGTAAGTTCATCCTGGCATAGTATACACTCAAAACAGCATAATGAGATCTTTCCGAGACGACATGAGTTAGTCTATCAAACATTAGATTAGGAAAGAGGGGAGGAAAGACACTCCTTGCGGACAAGGAGGAAAGGATGCAAGATAAAAGAAAAAATGGGCAAATGAAATGAAATCAATAAAAGAAGGATGGTAGTAGAAAGGCAATAGTTGCCCAACTACTCAATGGATCTGCTCGACGGTGAGCCTTCCATCAGTTCATCGTCACCAGGCGACCGAAGCTGTTGGTCTGCTGTTGGTGATACCACGATTGCCGGTGTCAGGGGCGGTTGTGGAAGGGGATCGTCTCCAGATCGAGGACTTGTAGCATCATCCAACTCCAAATCTGTCCTGGGAGGCGAAATGGGTTCGGGCACGGAGGTGGCCGCAGAGCCCTCGGCGCTGTTATTGCTGGTGCTGCCTCCGTTTCGTCTCCGTAACCTGCGTTTCCGACGCTCTTCTTCCGCTGTTTCTCGGCGTCTTCTCATTCGGTCGCCGTCCATGTTATCACGAAGGCCCTGCAGCATGCTCGCGGCACGATCCGCCACGTCTTCGCTTTCCGACACATGTTGCGGGTTCTTCTTGCTCTCAGAAGTTTCTGCTTCAAGGAGGGGAGGGCTCAGCAGCCCTGACGCGGCGGCATTTGCTTCGCTATCATTGTCGTTGCCCGCCTTGCTGTTGCTATTATCGTTTTCGGCTTCGTTCCCTCCTTCTGGTGCCTCAGCTCCAGCAACATCCGGCATCTTTTGGCCGGAAGCGACACGAACTTGGTGTCGCTCCTTTAGCCTAGCACGGCGGCGGCGGTCACGCTGGTCTCTGGCTTGCGGCGCTGCGGCGCGGAGCTTCTCCAGGAGCGAATCCATGGCCCCGCTTGTAGCTGGCGACGGTGGGGCGTCACTTGCAGAGGCGGCGCCATTGGCAAGCCCGGCATTGATATTCCGCTTGCGAGCCAAGGACGCCTCGGTGCGTCTCCGACTTTCTTCCAGCGAGATGTTCTTCTCCTTAGATTTCTGCACGACCATTGGTTAGCAAACATTCTTGGATGATACTGGACAATCGAACTCACCTTCCACTCTAGCAAGAAGGAAGCCAGCTTCGCGAAGAAGTCTCGGCGGGCACCCTCATCAGAATTGTCTTCTCCATAGAAGACCATGATGTCATCATAGGATTTGATCATCTCATCCAAGTAGAGCTGCATCTGCTCGGCCTTCCGTCTAGCATCCTTCATACTCCGCTGAACGATCTGGCTAACGCGATCCTGAGGGTGGAACTTCTTGGGGTCACTGAGGTTTCCGGCGTCTAAGCTGGCCTGTACATTCTTGATGTTGTCGATGTACTTCTTCGCATCCGTCCGCAGCTGGTCGACGTTGAGCTTCTGGATAGCGACGACACCATTGATCTCGTCCACGAAGCCCTCCCATTCGGGATACTGGTTACGGACAATGCGCTCCACTAAATCAGCAAAAGTGGTTTCGTTCTTGTCATCCTTAACCATGCCCAGCCGGGCAAGAGAGCTCAGTTTGAATCCTTGAGCTTGCTTGTTGGCATCGTTCATGAAATTACCAATGTCCAGGATTAGACCCAGGACATTCATCAGAGAAACAGAGTCTCTCAGAGATTCGCTGACCTTCACCACTTGTTGCAGCTTGGCGGAGATATGCTCATAATCAATTTCGAAGGACCGAGTTAACGCGAGAGCGCGCATTCTCGCCTTCCAGTAGTGGTTGAGCTCGTACGCGGTGTATAGGTAGATCTGATCTTCCCTCGTGAGCTCGTTGGGGTCTTGCTCTCGCTCCGCACTAGCAGCATCGGGGCCGGTCCAGTCCCTGCTGTAGGGCGCCATCGACTTGGAAATATTCTCCGGGATTGTGCACATCTCGTCCCGCTGCAGGAACTCCATGACGACCTGGTTGTCCAGAATGTCTGTATCGCAATGTATGATCATGCGCACCACATCGTCGGCAGGGAATTGCGAAAACTTGGCCATTGCGATCTGGAAATTCTTGGACAGCTCGTTGGAGATAAGCTGTTTCTTGTCCTTGCGCTGCTTCGCTGCTGCATTGCCTCCGAAGATCTTGGTCTCCTTCGCCATGAAGAGTCTTTCAACCTCATCCAAGACACCCTTCTTAGCCAACTCTACATATTTCTCTTCTTTCTCCTGCGCAGTGGGAGCGTGAGCTGCCCACACCGTTACCTGTGGAGCATCAACCTTCTCCCAGTGAAGAGCCTTGAGCTTCTTCTTTGGCCGGATAGAAGGCATAAGAGCTGTCTTGTGTTGAGGAAGGGCTTGGGAGGCCATGTAGTTGGCTCGCCATCCTCCAAAGCCTGCGCCAGGAGGAGGTGGGGGAGGAGGGGCACCAAATGAAGCACCTGGTGGGGGGGGAGGCGGCGGCGGGAATCCTGCACCGCCTGGAGGAGGGGGCGGAGGAGGTGGAGGGGGGATTCCAACCTTTCCTCCCGGCGGCGGCGGAGGGGGAGGGGGAGGGGGAGGAGGGACTCCGACGGCACCACCAGGCGGTGGCGGAGGAGGGGGAGGGGGCGGAGGAGGAATTCCCACAGCTCCCGGAGGAGGAGGCGGTGGTGGCGGCGGCGGCGGGGGTGGAGCGGGCGCCCCCTTGGCCTCGGGCTTCTCAATTTCACTCTCGACCTTGGGTTCGTCGGTGACAGGCGCCGTGGCTTCGAGAACAACAGGTGTAGCTTCGTTATCGTCTGCGTCGATCTTAGGTACCCTCGAGGCAATTTCTCCCAGGAGGCCGTTCGCCTGCTTAGGGTTAAGTCGTGGCCGATGGAGGTCGACCAGACGCGCCCTTTCATAGATGATCTCTCCGTTCTCATCCACCTGGCCCTCCTGCTGCTGACCCTCGACAGTATCCTTCTCCATGCCGGGCAGATGGCTGCGCTTGCGCTGAACAGATCCCAAGCCCGCAACGTGATGAGCCTGGTCCTGGAACCCATCTTGCGGCTCAACATCACCGTCCATTTGCTCACGAAGTTCGCGCAGCCGGTCTGAGGTCACATGTTGACCCCATACCTTGCCCTCCAACTTGAATTGGGTCTTGGTGCGTTCGAGTTGCATCTCCAACCGCTCAAGGAGCTTTTCACGGTCCATGATGCCCCTCATATGGGACGGATCGACTTCTGCGAGGTTGTTCTTCTTGGCATTTGAAGCAGCGATGTCCTGGGCATCCCGAAGCATCAGGTAGAGCTCTCTGGTTTCCAGTTCGTTCCGTTGCAACTCCTGAGCACGCAAGCGTTGAACATCGGCGAGCTCAGCCCGTATTGACTCCTCCCGTCTCCGTTGAAGTTCGATGATGCCAGTCTGCTCTTCAATTTGCTTCTGCAACTTCTTTACTAGGCCGTCTGCACCCAGCTCAATCTGTGCCTTCATCTCATCCCGCTCTGCCAAGGCAGCCTCCGCAATCTGGCGCGCTTCCAAGGATTCATCGTACGCCTGTCTTGCCTCTGAATCTGTATGTAATTTGTCCAAGAGGCTCTGCACGGTAAATGTTAAACCTTGGCGGAGATCCAGATCGGGTAGCCTGCGATCCATGGCCACGTAGCTAAGCATGGCATCGACGAGCTGGTACATCCGGAGACCATCTTCGCCAGAGTTCTCCCGGATAAGAAGCATGTGCTGCATAGCAGAGAGGAAGTAGTCGTGAGCGCGAGTACCTGTAATCCTTGAAGCAATAGCATCTGTGATTTGTAGAGGATCGTTCATGTCTTTGACCTCGCCCTCGATGCTATCCTTCACGCTGCTACTCTCACGCTGCAGAAGATCCTCGTAGTCGATGGCCTCATTCTCGCGGAAGCGCTCAATCTGCTTGTCAATGACCTCATACTGGAAACCTTCCATTTTAGTCATGAGACGCTTGATGCCGCAAGAGGTGAACTGCGCACGAATATGACAGCGCAGCTGTAGGTCGTTCTCCGGAGCGTCCACCAACATGTTGATGAGGAGCATGGTTGAGACGGCATACTCCATGAGAAGGTTCTCCATGCCTATACCACCACTGCGGTACTCCTCACTCGCGCCCACCAAACTACCCATCTTTCCACGGCCATCGATCGTCACTTCGACGATACGCATCCAGGCATCAAAGCGACCAGTCTCTCCATGGTGGTTCTTCACATGGTCCATAGCCTGGAGGACCTTTTGATGGCCCTGGCCTTCTGCCCAATGGCAAAGGAAGGTCAAGACTTCACTGACCAGCTTCCTTGTATTTAATCGGGGAGACAGCAGCGAGCTGACAAGAGCAACAATAACCTGCTGATGAGCGAGGGCATCATCTGCGCCATATTTGTTGTTCATCAAAGCCTTCAGGCACTTGACAATATCGTATTCACGATCCAAGTCCTTGTCACCAGTCGGGGGTGCAGGAACAGGACCTGAAGCTTTCCTCCGGTTGATCTTAGCAAGAACGTTGGTCAGGGCGATTTGGCCTTGTGCTTCGACAAAGGCTTTCACCCAACTGATCGGTTGTGTGCGCAGACTGACGCTCAAACTAGCTAATTGTTTCGACGTGATTGAATCATCCATAACCTTCTTCACGTACCACTCCGGGCTTCCCTCTTCATCGGCCCGCTCCAGAATCCCCGACGGCCCATCGTGACCATGGGTCTGCCGGGCATTCTGCCTGCGCTTCTGTTCGCCCTGAATTTCCGTCAACCGATCTTGATGAACCAGCGTCCACTTTTTCGAGGCTGGATACGCAAGCATCTGCCGTTTGGCCTGCTCAGGCAAGTTCTGCCAACCTCGCTTCTGCATCAATTCCAGAAACAGCTGGTCCACAATCCGATCGTCCCTTGGACGGGTCAGGTATTGCTCGGGGTTGGCTGGTAACTTCGCGGGTTGCGCGGGCTGGGCCGACTGCCACGCAGCCTGCGCATTAGAGAGTCGGCTAGAGGTTCCATTAGATGAGTAGGTATTGCGGTCGGCAGAGTGCGAGGTTGTCAGTGTTCGAGAAGATCCGTCCGACGAAAAATAGCTCGAACCTCTAGTGTCCCGGGTGTTGGAGGAAAGTGACGAGTGGACACTGGCCTGGTCGAACGATATTCGGGAATGCGACGAGGAATCTACTGTAGATGAAGAGTTGTGACTAAATCCTGTGTTGGCAGCCGAGCTACCCGGTCGTCCCCATTGTTGATACCGAGCACCTTTGTCCCCCGAAGAGCTTCCCGCCATTGTTACATTAGACGCATGTGGCGGCGGACGAGGGCCGGTGGGGTGAGAATAAGTATTATTGTCCCGGATAGTGGCCGGGTTCCAAGCGGGATACTGATGGAAATCACTGCCTCCCTTGGCAAGATGATTCGGGGATGGTTCTTTGCGTGGCGAGGTTTCGGCTTTAGAGAGATAGTCGATGGGAATCGGCGACTTGGTGTCGGCGGGGAGACTTTCATAGGGGATAGAGGTAATCACACCAGCCGTCATTGACAGCGCTGCAGGATCGATGTCGTTGGAAAAATCCATAGACTGGACGGAGGATCGCTTGGAATGGCGAGAGGAACGAGAACCCGGGGCGCTTCCAGGAGGCGCGAGGGTCTCGAAGCCTGTATGGGCATCGTGGCGATCGTCTACCGCTTTCTCCTTGTGCAGCTTCCTCCCGAAGAACGATTTCCCAGCGGAAGTCTGTCTCGATTTGTCAGGCGCGGACGTGGTGGTTGGCATCTTGACGGACGTCGCTGGGGAGATGCAGGGCGCAGCATGAGCGTAATCAGCTGGGGCAAGAGCGTTGAGGTAGCAGACAGTCGTCGGAGGCTGTAGATTGAGAAGAATCGGTCGCTCTCAATCTCTGCGAAGGCCAGGATCACATTCAGCTCAAGGCGACAACTTATTCCAGACACTCCTGACTAACACTGATTAATAGCCGCTGCGGAGCAGCGTTGGCACGAGGGGGGGGGGAAAGGATGCCACCAAAGACGGACGCTTCTCCCAACAAACAGATGGAGAAGGTGACTTGAAGAAATGAGAGTCAAAGGAGCGGTCTGTAATGACGGCTCCCAGTAGGGCTATCCTACTCTGGCAAATCCCAGGATCGGGCTTTAGTGGCTGGAGTCTTTTTGCACGTCAGGTCGTGGAAGCACGGGCATCAGGGGGGGCAGCACCACTTGAGGCGGCTCTAGAACGCGGTAGGGGCCGGAGGTATCACGTGAATTACACCATGCATGCCTCAGGAAACTGGCCCTCCACCTCCGATCACGTGGAGCTGTCTCATGCCGGAGACTCTCGGAGATGCTGTCAGTGTCAGATTCAGGGCAGACTCCGGATTACTGCCGTTGCTGCAGAAGACCAACTGGTAACTCAGCGTCGGGGGACGGTCAGCCTGCCAGTCACATCGGACTACTCTAAGCGCCGTCGCAGGACATGACAAGTTTCCGCTGTTAATCGGGGGATTATTGGCTTGATTTGGCGCTGTGTGTTTGGCGCCTGTCTATCTACTTCCTTTCCGCTGCTGCCTTGGCCGCGCATTCTCGAGATCAAGATCGTTACAGGAAAGGCGCTGAGCACCACACGCCACAATGGGTTCCGCAACTAACTTTGCCAAAGTATGCCCTCTCTCCAACTCTCCTAATTCTTCCGAAATCCTTCTCACTGACACTTTCTACTCAGACCATCATCATCCCCGCCGTGATCTCCCTGACGCTCTACCTCCTGTTCTCCTTCGTGATCATCCCCTTCTTCCGTCGCTATCATCAACGATACTCCCAGTACCTTCCGCTCCATACTATCTCCGCACATACTACGACACTCCGGGATCGTATCGCGGATGCTTTGATGCGACGATTCCTTCCGTCGGTCTGGCGACAATCACAATTCGACCAGCACGACAACATCAGTATATACGATGAAGAGGGAGAGATCATGGTAGGGATGGACATGGACCCTTCACGGCGAGAAGCGCTCGAGCGTCGACGGAGCACCGCCGGGGATGCGGAGAGTCGCTTGAGTCGTGAACTTGAAGCGGGATTCATGGATGATAGTGATGATGACGAGGGACATGCCCATGCTCAGTCACGTCGCTGATTTCTGTTCCTTCTGTACATATTACACCACCATGTAAGGAACCATTGGCGTTTGGGATGGGTAATAGATATAATAGACATCTATTCTTGCTGAACCTTTGCGGTAGTACAGATAGAGCCCAATGCATGTCTGTCTAGATAAACTCAATGGGCACTACTAAACTACCTGCATGCGTACATACCTAGACCAATGCATGCACTGATAATCACCACAATGGAATATCAACTCCGTCCGTCCGGACTACCAACAACCCCTTACTTCGTCTCCAACCCCACGTCGTAACTCAATTCTCCAACCCCATCAATTAGATTAACCCCAAACAAACAACCAAAAGAAGGTACTACTGTACATACCCTAATCCCCTTCACGAGCAACTACTGAATACCTAGGTCCCCCCAGCCGAACCCAACCCGACCTAAACAAACCCAGAACAAGAAAGAAATAGAAAGAAAAGAGCAGATCACTAAACCAACAAGAGTATATCATCCGAAACTATACAAACTCAAATATCACTACCAGAGCAAAGCAATAATCATAAGACCTAGAAAATCGTAATGTGTATAGTCTCCCACTAAATCAGAGGCTGGTCCGTGGTTCTGGCCTGCCGGGGAAGTTTGCTGTGGTCAAGCTTTGTGCTTTGGGGGATGATCGGCGCCCCACTATCTGCTTTTATCCTTCTGCTTGGTGGGGAGTAAATTGTGGGTTTGAATATGGTAAATTGGTAATGATGAAGAAAGTTGGACTAAAATGACGAGCTGGAGTTCGAGTCGAGTCTATTGTTGAGTTGGTGGACTGAATTGGTTTGGATTTGGGGAGAAAGGGGCGTTATTGATTGTTGGTCTGGCTGGAGTGCTGTTATTGGTGCTGGGATGATCGCGGGGAGAGTCCGAAGAGTTAAGAGTCTTCATTAGTACGTGAGACAAATTGGAAGAGTAAAACTTTTGAACAGCAAGAAAAAGTTTTGATTTCAGGTATCATAAGCTAATCATAACGGGAGGAAATAGGCCGAATACAGATCGATCCATGCATCTCATCATCATCTTCCATTTAGGCCTTGTTGCGCTGACCGTAGGCCTTGGTAACGTAGTCACCGCCGTGGACAATGAGGTCCTGGGGGCGGTAGTCGTGGCGGCCGGAGAAGTAGCTCTCGAGGATGGCCTTGGTACCGTTGGCGTAACGGATCTGGGCATCGATGGAGGTACCTGACATGTGAGGAACCATGGCGTTGCCGCCGCCCCAGGGGCCCTGGACGGTGCGCAGAGGGTGGTCGGCGGGGGCGGGCTGGGGGAACCAGACGTCACCACCGTATCCGCGGAGGTGGCCAGACTTGACGGCCTCGGCGACATCCTCCTTGACAACGATGGCACCACGAGCGGTGTTGACGAGCCAAGAGCCCTTCTTCATCTTGGAGATGAGCTCCTTGTTGAACAGACCGCGGGTCTTCTCGTGCAGGGGGCAGTTGATGGTGACAACATCGCACTGAGCGAGCATCTCCTCGAGGTCGTCGACGCGGCGGCAGCCGATCTCCTTCTCAACCTCGGGGGAAAGGGGCTGGTAGTCGTAGTAAAGGAGCTCCTTGCAGTCGAAGGGCTTGAGACGGCGGAGGACACGCTCTCCGATACGGCCAACGGCAACGGTACCGACGACCTTGCCCTCGAGGTCGAACTCGTTCTTAGCGACAGCGGCAACGTCCCACTCGCCGCGGCGGATCTGCTCGTGGGCGGGAACGAAGTTGCGGACCAGGGTCAGGATGGTCATGACAACGTGCTCAGCGACGGAGACGACGTTGCAGCCGGTGACCTCGGCGACGGTGATACCGCCATTGGTCTTGTTGGCAGCGTTCAGGTCAACGTGGTCGGAACCGACACCAGCAGTGACGGCGATCTTGAGGTTCTTGGCCTTGGCCAGACGCTCAGCAGTGAGGTAACCGGGGTGGAAGCTATTGCGGGCAACCAGTCAGCTATTTAGTTCCCGTAGTTGCCAAGTTCCCTGGGCGGATAACTGTGGGTAGTGAAGTGGGTCACATACGGAGTGGTGATGATGACTTCAGCGTCGACGAGCTCCTTGTCGAAGGTCGAGTTCTCGCCCTCCTTGTCGGAGGTGGTAACCAGAGTGTGACCCTGCTCCTCGAGCCACTTCCTCAAGCCGAGCTCGTTCTCAGTGGTACCCAGAAGACCGGGCTGCTGCTTGGCGTGCTCACCGCCCTATTTGGAGATGGTTAGCATCTGGTGGTTTACGAGCAGAAGAAAGTGATGCTATCCGGATACTTACGTCATAGAGAACCATAAGAACCTTGCCCTGTAGATTCGCGGAGGCGGTTAGCGTACGAGCACCAGCGATTGAGTTAGCCAGAGGAGCAGCGCGGAATGGGCTGCTGGCCGCGGGCGCGAAGGCTCCCTTGGAGAGAAGAGAGGTGGCAGGTCGCCGAAGTTGGCGGGAGAAAGAGCGCATAAATACCATTGTGAAGATGAGTTAAGTAAAATGAGATGAGATGATGTAGAGATGGGATTGTTGGATGCTGGTAAGATACCTATGGCAGGAGGGTCAGCTTGAGGTTTAAATACATCCCGGATTTGGAGAACGTGGGAAGTAGTAATAGATGGATGCATCGGATTGCAAAGTCGGGGAAGCCGAATGAGCGGCAAGCAACAACAGTAGCAACGGCGAACAAGGGGAAGCGGGGAGACAGGAAAGCATGTGTGGAGAAGCCACTATGGAGGGCAGGCAAGCATGCCACAGGGCAGAGCCGATGCCAGATGGAGGATGATGATGCAGGGGTGGCTTACCGAAAGCGGCGGTGGAGTTCAAGAAACCTTGGAGAGGGATGAGCAAAGTATGATGAGGAGACAAGTTGTGATGCGATGAGATGTAGATGCAGAGAGATGAGGATGGAATGAGACTGACAAGGACGGGGAATTTAGCCAAATATATAGATTTCACTGGGTCCTCTTTCTTTTTTTTTTTACTGTACTATGTAAGTGAGCACCACAATTGCCCCCCCTCCATCCCCTCTCGGCCCATATTCAGAAAGGGTGCTCCATCCACATCTGCGATAGGATGGCGCCAAATCCGGATAGGAGGGCACCAAGCAGGCAGTAGTAGCACAAGGCCATCATCTGGGTAGACCCAGCAAGTGGCAGGAGAGGGGGGGAATAGTTTGGGACCCTCAAATCAGCCCCGAGAGTTGGAGCAAGGAACTGGAACCCCACCAGCCAGCAATTGAAGTTGGGCGATCGTCCGGGTTGGCGGCAGTTTCGCATCGGCACGGACGACGTTTCGGTCCAGTTGTTGTCTCCGCACGCGGGACAACTACTACTGTAAACTAGTCTAGTAGCACATAGACAGCCGCGGATGGTCGGATGGCTCTAGGTTAGGTTTGTATAGATCGATACCGTCGAAAGCTTGAAATCCACACCTCGGGCAGTTGACACATTACGGGGTATAGTATGTATTGAACTAGACTACTTAGTAGATGAGCCTTGATTTGAAAAATGCATACAGTGGTATCATAGCGGTAAAGCGACTGAAAACCAATACAACAATACTATTGATTGTATAACCCCAATCTCGGTCACAGATTAATTGCCTTCCCAACATATGTCCTACTGCAGGGGATTGCCCACGGCCATGCGGGGTTTCAGAAATCTAGAAACCATCGGGAAAAAGAGAAATGGCATGGCATGCTTAATGGGGCTCGTGAGGGGAACCCGAGCCTGGGCCGAGAGTGCCTGCAGGGCCGGAGGTATGTCGGGCGTAGAGTTTCCATGGGGAAACGGAAAACCTGCCAGCCTGTCTGTTGTGTCATCCGCAAGTGACAATGGCCAGATGGACCTTCCTTTCCTACGGGTATCGTTGAGGGAGGATCTTTTAGCTCAATTCAGTCAATTCTCTTGCTATCCACTCTTGCCATTTAGTGTATCCACCGATGTCTGCGGACAGAATTACTGTTTCTGCTGACTTCTTTTCCAGATTGGGATAGCTGTTACTCCCCCTCACGAGGGGTTGTCTCCGTATCGCCACTATCCCATATCTAGACTAG